ACTAGAATAACTAATTTTTTGGAGTATTTATTTTGTATTCTTAGCCGAGTTTGGAAGCTAAAGTTAAATATTGCTAAATGAGTCGGATTTGAACAGGGGAAAAAACAAGTGACGCATTTAAAAATAATTACCTGAAGACATTATTAAGTCAATATTGTTTATAAAAATAATTACCCCAAGATGTTGGAATATTTTAATTGAAGAAATATCTTAAAAGCAGAGCCATTACTAAGCTGCCTAAACAGCTCTCTCAATCCGGTAAGGCGGGAGGCAGCAAAATTAGGAACCCTTTTTTGAATTTTAGAGGGCCCTTTACTAAATTTGAGGATCTTTTTTTTTTTAGTTATACCTAATAATCAAAGCTTTTTAAAATTTTGGGGCCGTAATGACAGATTTGAGGGAGTGCGCTGCCTTCTATGCTACTGCACTGGTTAAAAGAAGAGGGAAGTTTTAAAAGAAAAATTTTATTATATTTCTATGATAAAAAATTTTTAACATGAAATAATTTTTTTTCAAAACATTACTTTATTTTATTATAGAAAGGAATATAAAATCAGAGATTACAATCTAACTAAGTTTTTTTTATCTTGTTTGTCAAGTTTCACGTTTCTAAAAAACGCGCCTATATTTTAAAATCAACCAATGAAAATTATGAGTTTGAGTTGCCGTACCGCTAGTAACAATGTTTTCCTATATTTGTAAACACAATAGAAGTTTGTATTGTGATGAAGTTGGTGGTTTGATGTAGCTTTGATCATCAAAGCTACATTCATAAATATCAACTACATCAAAGTTTGATGTAGTTGATATTTAATGTACTTTATTTAACTTTATTATATTTCCATAAATTTTTGTCATATAACATTAAGTATTTGAATTCTGCATTTGTTTTTTTCCTGTATTTGTATTTACCCTGCTATGTAAATACATTATGCAGTGGTTACTCTAGCTAGATTAACGGCAGGGTTAGGATCCATAAAAACTGAGTTTACGGTTTTTTAAGAAACTAAAAATTTAAAGACCAGAATTATTTAAAGACAAGAAATATTTAAATTGATCTTGAATTTTGATATAAAATCTTATTGTAAAATCATTTTTTATCAACATATTATTATTATTTTATTATTATTAAAGATTATGATTTAAATTTTAATATTTTAATTCATTTTATAAATCATCAGATAAAACTAGAAAATTAAAGCGCAATAAAGTGTAATATAATTATTAAAAAACAACTGCTAATCACAACAATCTAAATGAATTTAGTGGTGATCAAATATTTTAGATAAAAGAAATTAAAAATAGCTTTAGCATAACTTTTTATTGGTTGATCTTTTAAATTACCATGCAAGTTTTTCAAACTTTTTTTATATTTATAATCCTTAAATTACCTGGTGTTTAAAAAAACAATATTTAAAAATACTTTTTTTGAATATAAGTTTTTGCAGTAATGTTGTGTTTTCTTTATTAATTTTTGCAATATGATAAATTGACCATTAAAACAGTGTTCATGGTTTTATATAAAGAGAGAGAGTGGAAAATAATGGCCGGTCAGGGCCACCGATATGACTAAAAGTGCTATTTTGATTTCCAAAATGAATTCTTGTAGGTCATGGTTAACCGGTTGAAATAAAATTCAGAGTTTTGAAAAACAGGGTTCAACAAATAATCAGAATGCAATTTGGAAAATGCATATAATAAAATTTTATAGAATCATTTAAATTTTGAAAATG